CTGGGCCCAGCACCTAGGTGATGTCTTCCTGAGACCTATCCACATGGGGATTGTGATATATCACCTGGCCCAGTACTTACTTGATGTAACTCTCCTCTCATGCCTAGGCCCTGCTGATGGGTGGGACTGTGACACATAGGTTGGCCTCGCCCCTTGGTTATGTGACTCTCCTCTTATTCTCCAGTCATTTTCACAGGGGCATCGTGAAACATGGCTGGACTGAGAACCTAGGTGATGCTTGAAATATACCGCAAAAGAGAGTTTGATATATGCTTGTCTAGTTTCCTAGGTGATGTTAATCTTTTCTCCTACCTGAACCCTGTATACATTATGCATTTTGACACATCACTGAGGCTAACACCTAGGTGATGTAACTCTCCTGCATAAAGTTTGCCTACAGGGGTATGACGATGTATCTTTTCATTCATCACCCAGCTGGTGTGACTCTCTACTTATGCCTGGGCCTTGATGAAAGAGAAATTGTGACATATCCCTGGACCTAGCACTTAGGTGATGTAACTCACCTTTATTGCCAGGGCATGGAATGATGAGTATTGTGACATATCTCTAGGTCTGACACCTAGGGGATGAGAGACTCCTGTCTGGGCCCTGCCTACAGGAAGCTTTGTGGCATGTGTCTGGTCTCATTACCTAGAAAGATGTGACTCTCCTCTTCTACCTGCATTCTTCTCACAGAAAAGATTGTGACATCACTGGACCCAGCAATTACAAGATGTTTCTCTCCTGCCTGAGCCTTGCCCACAAGAACATTGTGACGTATCCTTGGGCTCAGCACCCAGGTGATGGGACTCTGCCACCTGTTCCCTCTCTACTTAGGCTATTGTGAGGTATAGCTGGATTCAATACCAAGGTGATGTAACTCCTGCCAGGCCACTGTCTTTCAGAGATATTGTGACCTACCTTTGTGCTGATCACCCAGGAGATGTGAATTTTTTCACCTGCCTAGTCCTTGTTCACTGGGAGATAATGATACCTATTTCTGGTTTCAGCATTGAGTTGATGTAACTGCTTTCTAGATTCTGCCCGCAATAAAACTGACATATCACTAGGCCCACAAGCAAAGTTATTTTGCCTGGTCCTGCCCTTAAAAGACATTGTGACATACTGCAGTGCCCAGCACCAATGTATCTGGTGTCTAAACCCTGTCTACTGGGGACGTTGTGTCATATCTCTTGGCCCGTTAACTATTTGATGTAACTCCTTTTTTTTCCTTTGAGAGTATCATAAGAGAACACAGCCCACTGGTGAGATAGTGTCTCTTGAATACACACGCAGGCAACAGTAAAGACTGTCACTTTCCCACATAAACACATCCCACTGTTGAAGTTCTGAATTTCACAGAGGCTTTCAAAAGTTGGATAATTGCTTCTCATGTTTTGATCTGGTCTACAGGTGGGCTGGTGACTTCCAGACCAAGATTGACCACATGTAAGGCTGTGACTGCACTAAGCAGACATAGTCTGCAGAAGCAACTGTGGCTCTTTTGCACACATTCTGTCAATCCTGAGATCGTGACTCATGTCCTTAGACCTAACATACAGGAGGTGTTGACTTTAATACCTTTAGAACCTGTACATGTATGGAATTTCTAATCCTTGGACTTTCCTGCATGTGTGATTGTATGAATCTGCGAAGGAACTCAGTGATTTGACTCTCCTGCCTTGGCGAAGCCCACAGATGAGATTGTGACATATCACTTGACTCTGCACCTCCAAAATATAACTCTTTTTTTCCAGCCTCGGAGCTGCCCACAGGGTTCATTGACATATGCTTTTTTTTTTTTTT